GAGACGGGGTTTCACCATGTTGACCAGGATGGTCTCGATCTCTTGACCTCGTGATCCACCCGCCTCGGCCTCCCACAGTGCTGGGATTACAGGCTTGAGCCACCACGCCCGGCCTCATTATTGATTTATAAATTCTCATTTTATTCAATGATTATACCCCGTTTTGATGCTCAATTTGCCCTAGGTTTGGCCAGTGGGAATCTTCTGGCTTCTGTGTCCTTTAAAATTATTTAAGCACATCCTTGCTTTCTAGCACAAGACATTCTGGGCTCATCCTGCCAGCAGTTCTAGAGGAGCATTCCTCTGAGTGTCGCTCGTTTTAGTGGAGAGTGGTATTTAGAAAGCAAGATCTGGGTGCAAGATGGTTATTGTTTTTGGACTCTCTTTGCTCCCAAGCCCTCTCAGTGGACAGAGGTATGGAATATGTGTGTCTACATACAGAAACACACACCTTTGTATCTTTGGATCTGTAGATCATACTGAAAACCATGAGTTCACACCAACACCTCCAGTTCTGTCCAACACCACAAGGTTCATCCCAGTTTCTCCCTTTTCCTATTTGTTAATTTCCTTATCAGATAACAAAAAACCTGCCTCCCCTCATTCTTACTATATTTAGTTATTGGATCAATTCCCCTGTATGTAAACTGCCCCCCACTGCTGCAGCTGTCACTGCCTACACAAGGCTCAGTCCCTGGAGTCGCCTCCGCATCTCGCCCTCCCCTGCCTGGGCATCCTCTCCACTGCTCTGGGGCCCCACCACCCCAGCCTGGGCCAACTACGTGCAGATGCCCTCCTTACGGCACCCCAGCTCTGATACCTGTGCTTGGCTACACGCTCACACATGGACGCTCCCTCACCTGCTCAATCTCTTCGTCCCTGTACCAGGACACCTCCCTGTGCAGACACCCTGCTTACCTCACTTGGGCTCCGACACCCCAGGCCTTGGCACCCCTCAACATGAACACCTACCTTGCTCTGCCCCATGCAATGGCTTTGGGATTTAATTGTTCAGGAACAGAAGGGAAGAAAAGCTTTCCATATAGATATAATTTTTTTTTTAAACAGAGTCTTTCTCTGTTGCCCAGAGACACAGACTCTGTTTCAAAATGTATATATTTATGGAATATATTTCCATATATACATCTATATGGAAAGCTTTTTTTCTGCACTCTGGAGTGCAGTGGCATGATCTCAGCTTGCTGCAACCTCCACCTCCTGGGTTCAAGCCTGGCCAACATAGTGAAACACCTTCTCTACAAAAAATACAAAAATTAGCCAGGCATGGAGGTAGCGTGTGCCTGTAATCCCAGCTACTCAGGAGGCTGAAGCATGAGAGTCACTTGAACCTGGGAGCTGCAGGTTGCAGGGGGCCGAGATCAGTGCACTGCATTTCAGATTGAGACTCTATCTCAAAAAAAATTTAAAAAGAAACTTAAACTCACAGTTTATTGAAGAGGAAACAGCCATGGTGCTTATTTAGCAACTAGAACACACAAGCTGACATCTTAACAAGGCAAAGCCCTGCCCTTGGGTAGACACCAGCAGGAGCACATCCAGATGCAGCTATGCCCTGAAGAAGAGAGCGACCGGCGACCAGGAAGCCTTTGCACAATTCTGGAGGCCAAGGATTTTACCTGGTGTTTGATGTAGGCATTTTGAAATTTAATTCCTTTATTCCACTACTAGTCATTGAATTCCTACTATACTGCAGACACAGTGCTAAGTGCAGGGTGCGGAATGAATAACACAGATGTGATCTCTGCCGTCTGGGGCTTATAGAGTAGAGGAGACACGTGGAGAAAAATACGCACAGATACGTGTGGAATTAGGAGAGAAGATGTGGGTGGTTGGGGATGCCTCTGGACATAAGCCTAAACTTAAAGGAGGAGGAGGAAGAAGGGTTAGGCAGGCCGAGAAGGGGAGAAGGACGTCCTTCGGGGAGGAAACAGCCTATGAAGCCCTCAGAGGTCCCAGAGAGCTGGGAGGAGCTGAGTGCCAGCCAGACATAGACTGGCAAGATGAGGCTGGAGAGTGGCCAGTGGCAGCCTTAGAGGCCCAGGTGACAATCTACACTTTAATTCTTTTTTTGGGGGACGGAAGAAGTCACACGAGGACATAGGAAGCCTTCTGGTCCACAGACTTCTTTAGTAACTTGGCCAGAGTTCCATTTGATGGTTCCTATCCAACCAAACATCCAACAGAAACAACTCGACTTGTTTTAGTTTGGTAGGTGTGTTAGGATGTGCTTGCATTGCTTTAAAGAAATACTTGAGACTGGGTAATTTATAACAGAAGAGGTTTAATTGGTTCTGCAGGCCATACAGGAAGCATGGTGTCATCTGCTTCTGGGGAGGCCTCAGAGAGCTTTTACTTGTGGCTGAAGGTGAAGCAGGGGCTAGGTGCAGTGGCTCACACCTGTAATCCCGGCACTTTGGGAGGCTGAGGTGGGAGGATCGCTTGAGCCCCAGAGTTCCAACCTGCAGTGAGCTATGATTGCATCACTGCACTTCAGCCTGGGTGACAGAGCGAGACCCTGTCTCTAAATTAAAAAAAAAAAAAAAAAAAAAGGGAGTTTAACAAGGCAGTTTTGCAATGTACCTACCCCCCTCAGTTCTAGAAGCTGGGGAAGGAGCTAGGGAAACGCGGAAGCTTCTCGAAGCCTATCATGGCAGGAAGACCCAGAGGGGAAGCAGCCTCACCTGTCGGAACTTCCAAGGCCCCAGGTGGTAACCATTAGCAGCATGTTCCCCCTGGCACACAACAGTCAAAACCAATAAGCTGAATGTGTCCAAGAGACAGAAATCAAAAAGATGAAACGGCTTCCCAGGCAGAAAAAGAGACGTAGGGAGGGATGTAGGCAGTAGAATGGCCAGAAAGGCAGCCTGGGCGACATGGCAAAACCCCAGCTCTACAAACAATCCAAACATTAGCTGGATGTGGTGGCTGCGGGCCTGGGAGGCTGAGGTGGGAGGATCACAGGAGCCCGGGAGGTTGGTTGAAGCTGCAGTGAGCCAAGATGGTGCCACTGCATTCCAGCCTGCGCAACAGAGGGAGACCCTGTCTAAAAAAAACAAAAAACCAAAAAGAGAGAGACACTGATATCCTCCTTCATAGGCCAATTATAACGTTTAAATGAAAAAAAAAAAAAAAAAAAGAAGAAAGCCGTTGGACATGTTAAGAAATAATCACAAAAGGTAAAATTAAAACAAAAGATTTTTTAAATTAAGCCTGGGCTGGGCGCAGTGGCTCATGCCTGTAATCCCAGCACTTTGGGAGGCTGAGGCCGGTGGATCACCTGAGATTAGGAGTTTGAGACCAGCCTGGCCAACATGGCGAAACCCGTCTCTATTAAAAATACAAAAATTAGCTGGGCATAGTGGTGGGTGCCTGTGAGCCCAGCTACTTAGGAGGCTGAGGCAGGAGAATCGCTTAAACCCAGGAGGTGGAGGTTGCAGTGAGTTGAGATTGCACCATTGCACTCCAGACTGGGCAACAGAGCGAGACTCCATCTCAGAAAAATAAAAATTAAAAAAAATTAAGCCAATTGACTAAAATATTATAAATAGAAGAGTTAAAAAGCAAGGATAGAAACATTGATAAAACAGTATGAACACTGAGAAAAATCCAAAAATGGAACCAGCTAAAAGTAGTTGGGAGAAATGGCAAGATATGAAATGATTAAAATAAGAGAATAACATAAACTAAGATAATTCAGTGGGAAAACACTTATCAGTGTCCACAATACAAAGATAAAAATAAATGAATTAGAACATAAACCATTTAAAAGCATAGAGGATTCTTTTTTAAGGCAATAGGCCGGGCATGGTGGCTCATGCCTATAATCCCAGCACTTTGAGAGGCCAAGGTGGGAGGTCGCTTGAGCCCAGAGTTCAAGAGCAGTCTGGGCAACATTGTAAGACCCCCATTTCTACAAAAAAAAAAAAAAAAAAGACAAAATTGGATCTGGTCAAAAGATAGAAAGCTAGTGGGGTAGTCTTGGGTTATTTGGGATTGAGGGGGCCTCAAAGTCCAGGCAAGCCCCCCCACCCCCAACCTCCGCTGACTCCTTGAAGAGCCAACCAGGGCAGGGCAGGAGTGGCTCAGAGCCCCAACCTTTGTCCCTCCCTGCCTCCTGCGGTGGGAGAAGAAGGGTGTTAGTAGTTCCAGTCCCCGGGGGTGTCTGCTGGCCCCAGTTTTCCAGCCAAGTGAACTTGGGCACATGTCCAGCCTCTAGGTCTTCATCTGTAAGACTCTTTGTTGGATCTCTTGACCCTGCAGCTCTTCTAAGTGTTTCCAGCCAGGCCAGCTTCTGCCAGCTGTGAGATCCCAGTGATGGGGCAAGGAGGGAGCTGGAGGGTGCTCACCGGGATGTGCCCAAGAGAATCCGGAGGAGGGGCCGCTGCAGTGTCCACCTCCTTTTTGGCTTCAGGAGAGTGGAGCTGCACCCTGTGCCCATGGCACCACCCTCCCCTGACATGCACGCCACCTGCCCCTCACCACTGCCGTCTGCCTTTTCATTTCTACAGGGTCAAAGAAGGCTCTTCCAAGAAACATGCAGAAGAGAAGAGTGAAGAAATGTCTCTTCAGCAGCTGAGAGCATCTCCCCTCAAAGAAACCATCTAAGCTGCCTGGAACCTGGTGCTTGCTGGCAGCACCTGAGCCATGTGCAGACGGCCCCCTGGGGGTTTCTCCCGGGAGCCCCTGGGGACACGAGTGCTGAGCTGGAGGAAAGATCGCTGAAAACATCCTGGCTCCCATAGAGAGCCACCCACAAGCCAGGACTGCTTGGAGTGAAACCCCACCCAATGTGCATTACAAATGCATAGAAAGCCAGGAGAAGCCAGTCCCAGGGACCGCAGGAGGGACTGTTTTCCTTTCCCATCCCCAATCTGCCCCTTAGAATGTCTCTGTATTAGTCCATTCTGGCACTGCTATAAAGAACTACCTGAGACTGGGTAATTTATGAGGAAAAGAGGTTTAATTGACTCACAGTTCTGCAGACTGTACAGGAAGCATGGCTGGAGGCCTCAGGAAACTTACGATCATGGCAGAAGGCAAAGGGGAAGCAGGCATGTCTCCCCATGGCTGGCAGGAGAGAGAAATTGAAGGGGAAGGTGCTGAAGCAGGTCAAGAGTTGTTAAGTTCGGCAGCCCCAGAGCCAGGGCAGACATTAGTTTTTTTAACAGTGAGAAGGCCCCCTGCTGCTCCGGGCTTTATTTAAACGGCTCTTTATTTCCCTGCTTTGTGGCTTTACACAGGGTTTAGCCAGAACGGCTAAGTTAGGGATCCCAGCCTGCAGAATTCCACTGCCCCCAAGAACTTTTGTACCTGCTTCTGATTCTTAGGCACCGCGGGTTACTGATAACCTGCTTGCTTTTTATTTTTAGGCTTTGCCGCCTCACTGGATAGTAAATCCCAGATAGTGCACCTGTTGTTGGCAAATCTGGGCCTTTTTTTTAGACCTAGTATTTACAGGTCTCCAGGTATTTGAGCAACAAGTTAGTTTCCCGGGGAACATATGGCTGCTACCGGGTGTTCCAGCAAAAGGTTATTCGTGTACCGAAGCAGCACACAGCCGAGGGCCTTGGTGGGGAACCTTTGGAGGTCGCAGGACAATGCCTCTCCGAAGACGGTTGTTGGGGAGTTTTTGAACCCCTGTGGACGACAAGTCCAGGTGTACTGTGTTGTTACGCCTGACTGCGGATCTTCCCACTGGAAGGCAAACAGCTTTTGGCTTCTAGGGGCTAACCGGATACTGAAGAAAGCATTCTTTCAGTTGAAGCAGGTGAACAGCTGGCCTCAGCTGGCAACAGTTCTAGCAACATAAAGAGATTGAGCACCGTGGGGTGCAAGGTGACAGCTCCTGGTTGACCAACCGCAGATTCTGCACTGGCTTATAGTTCTTGGTCCCCAGCCTGGGGACAGGCAGGAGAGGCGTGTTCCAAGGAGACTGGCAAGGAACTATAGTACCATAAGCTTTTTTTTTTTTTTT